CTACTTGCTAGTAGACAGCCCCATTTCAGTTTTAGTTTAACTTGCAACATTTAAATTGGGAGTTTGCAATTTTCAATTTTCTAAATTTTAAAATTTAAATTTGCAATTTTTTCAAATCTCAAGCTTTCAATTTTCAAAAGAATTAATGTTAAAAAATACTGAACGTGTCTAATGATCTCTGTGTCACAATTAATGAAACAAGAAACGTGTGCCAGTGAAAAGAATCGTCAATAGTTAGGTAAATTAAGCTCTGCCATTAGTGAAAAGAGGTCTGCACTTATTAACAAAAGAGAAACGTTCTTTCATCTCTAATAACTATAACGCTAGGAAAAAAAAAAATTGCATGATTCAGAGGGAACAATTAGTCATCCATCATATTCTCGTGTCTCGACAGTAATAAATTACATCCTATTATCATCTTTCTTCGATCGCAAAAACATTTCCTAAAGGGTGGAACGTTTAATGATTACACAGAAACTGAGAATATTATCAGGAATTATTTTCAATTAAAAAATACTGATTTATAAAAAATCGTATTTCAAATAATTCTCGAATGTTCATTCTTTTCTTTTTTGTATGATCATATATGACCTGCATCGTCAAGAAGGTGTTAAGAACTTAAGAAGCTTCGAACATTAAATCCGATCAGTAAATCTTAACTGTTGACGTAGTGGCAACAGGCGAATAAATAGATCGGTCGAACGCAGAAATAAAACAGTGGAATGCGACGAGAAACACAATGATTCACACGTACGTTCACATCATTAGGCTAACATTTACTTCTACATATAGAGTAATTTGAAAAATTGAAAAGTGGAAGCTTGCAATTCGAAAAATTGCCAATTGGAAATTCAACAAATTGCAAGCTTAAAATTCGAAACATTAATAATTTGGAATTTAAAAATTTTAATAAAGCTTAAAATTTAAAAAATTGCTAATTAGAAACTGAATATTTGAAATTTATTGACCCAAATCAAAGCTATTGGTCCAATTCAGAATCTGTGCAGCAGTATGTTAATAATTTGGGAATTCACGAAAGCGACTGAGACTAGGGATAGAATGTGGGTCACAATCATTGGTATTTTAACTATCAATAGCAAGAGATATTAATAAATTTTCAGATTAATAACTGTGCAACATCGTAACATTTTTAAGTCTATAAGTAAAACAAGTGTGCCAGTATGAAACTTAATGGTCTCCAGTTGTCGAGCGACCTGTTTATTGATTTATTAGCATCAGAAACGTTTCTTTTCTTGCACACTTTGAGGTGAACGTTCTGTAACCTTTGACCCTTCACCTTAAGATTGGCAGAGTCGTTAGCCATCCAGCACTTGGCACCTCGGCTACGTTGAATGGCCTATTATCTCACTTCAAAGGTAACCGTTTCATTGGAATTCAATATTTTAAGCTCGATAAAAGATAAGTGGGAACATGTCTCAATAAAAGATGATTAATATTATCTAAGCTTATGAAACTGTCATAGACAGTGTTCGCGTTTATCGTGAACCGATAACTATGACGGAAGTTGGAATTTATGTTTCCTGGAAACGTAATGCACGGGGAACTATCAAACCTTGAATCTGTCGACAGAATACCATAAATACGAATAGTGTGCTTTCCATTTTCAATTCTAAAGTTTTCTATTTTCAATTTTTCAATATGCAATTTCTTAAGTTCCGAGTTTTCAATTCCTAATTTTTCAAATATTAAACTTCCAATTGCCAAATTGCAATTTTTCAAATTTCCAGTGGTCAATATGCAATTTCTTAAGTTTCGAGCTTTCAATTCCTAATTTTTCAAATATTAAACTTTCAACTGCCAAATTGCAGTTTCCCAATGTTAAGTATCTCTAACTAGGCTACAGATAAATAACGTCCATAGAGTTTAGAAGAAATTAGGTCCGAGCCGAAGGAGGGGTGTGGCCATGGAGTACATCAGACTGTCGGGCACCCATGAACAAACCCCAGAACGCTAGGCGTCCCATATTTCGAGTTATTGCCGGCGGTAATTGCATCGGAATGGAATCGATGTTGGCCGACTTGCCAGAAGAAAGGAAAAGAGATTCGCTATGCGTGCATAAGTCATGGGACACCTTACTGTTCAATTCAAAACACAAAGAGCCTCGAGTATTTTCTTCGCAGTTCTCTCGACTTTAACTTATACCTAATAATTCTTCGCTTGCGTGCCGAGGCTATTTTGTTTCTTGCAGTAATAAAGATTATTTGTTGTTACAGTCGCGCCATGGTTGCTATGCATCCGTCGGCAATTAATTATTCATAAGCTCGCGTTAATTTAACGAAGTGTTATTTATATAAATTATATAAAATCGAATACAAATGAATTGTTCCAATTGTTTAATTAAGTTTTCCAGACAAACAGCGATCTAAACATGGAATTGTCGATGGAAATGTAGCGTGTCCATTAGGAAACTTATCGCGGCTGTTAACGATCGCATAAATAATTCATTCGTTCCCGCACGAATGCGTTTTTAACCCACCAACGACCCCGCTATCGTAGCTGAAGAGAAACCTGAAGAAGACCAAAATAAATGATCCAAATGAATATTATTTAACAACGTGTATACAAAGAGAGTTTAAAAATTATTTCACAGATGAGAAAGGGGTCAGATATCGCACGCGACCTCGCGAACACGAAAGCAACTTTACCTTCTGTTTGCGATTGTGCTACTTGTCGATTAAGAGAATTAAAGAGAGGAAAAAAAAGATCGAATCTGCGTAGCAGGAAGTCGATCGAACACGGTCAATCGATATCGCACGCGAGTGCTTCAATCAATGCGGCCTTGGGTTTAACTTGTCGTGGGTGTATTTGTCTCCGATCGATTGATTTCGAGGAAATTCAGGGTGGAAAAAGGCGAAGACTGCAATTTTTTTTAAATATCCATTGTAACAACCCCCAAAATGTGGAGTGGCTTTTACAAAATTTTAAAATTCTAAAATTTAAGAATACAAAAATTCCAGGACTCCGAAGTTTCCAAATCTCCAAATTCCAAAAATTTTAACATTTCTATGACACCTAGCCCACCCTCGAAAAAAATCCTAGCTACGCCAATGGTTGAATAAGAATCAAAGAATAACCGGAATTTTATCCATTTTTCTGTTTTCCAATCGAGAAGTGTTCGATCGGAAAAAGTGGATTTCAGACACGTGGCTGAATCGGTTTTGGCACTTTTCCACTCAACTACCGCTGTCAGTGAAATAAATATATTATTCGAGCCTATGTGTCAGCCTTGGCAAGAAACTTCGTTTCCCAACAGGATAATAATTGATTGAGAGAAGCTGACATAGCGTAAACACGAATTTCTACCAATTTACTAATCTTATGGACATTTAATTATACTGTTGTCTTTGATTTTTTTTTTTAAGATCCGAGTAAACGGAAACTCGAAGGTCTTTGAAATAAATAAAAGATTCTTTCATGACCCCGAATGCCTCGAAAGGTTCAGCCCTATCACGCGACCAAGTTCGGGGTTCAACGAAATAGGAGAGACTTCGAGTTTGCGACAAGCGAGAAAATCAGGTTAACCTAGAAACGAAGGGAGGAAAATCTTATTTATTACCTGGACAAACGAGGCTAATGAATTTTTGAAGGGAAAAAAAATTTCTTCGAACTAAATATTTTTCATTCCAGAATGATAGAATCGAATAGACGATATCGCGTTATCGATGATCCTTCGTGAGCTGGAATATCTGAAACGTGAACCACTCGTTCCGAATAAAATTTTCATACATTCACCGCCGATATTGCTTTGCAAAGAAGAAAATGCTTCCACAGACGCATAACTCAATGGCAACGTGCCTCTACTTTATACGCGACAAAGTATGTTTTTATAATTCGAAAAATATCCAATATCATAGCTAAGTTCTGAAATTCTGCCTTTACCTTATACATGACAAAGTATATTTTTATAATTTGAGAAACATCTAATATCATAGCTAAGCTCTGAAATTCTGCGTTTACCTTATAGTTAAGCTCTGAAATTCTTCGATGACTAAGAAATGAAACAGCAACACGACTGTGTAGTAAACAAACGGAGGATATTATTCCGAATGATGATGATACATTTCCTGTGAATATTGCAATCGTACGAACAGATTTCGTGATATACAGCCCTGTTCGTGACTGGAATTTTCAGAATATCCTCCTCAAGGATAACGAATGATAAAAAATAGAAATAGAAGGCCGAGAACTTCAAGTTTGTAATTTGAGAGATTTACTGACCTTCGTTTTACAACGAGGAATTGCAATTTAAAAATTCCAGTGTACCGTGGAATAAACTAAATATTGTTGATTCAGTTACCACAGTGAAGTGCAAAGGTCGTCTTACGGGGTAAGGGGTAGTTCTGTAATCACTGAGGAATTTTTAAAAGAATCTATCATTTGTTCCTGTTTCTAAATGAAATTCTTTTCATATACACAAAATTTGAAAAATTCACAAATATGCAGCATAAATGGGAAAAAATTCCTCAATATAGTATATCTCCAACAACATATTTCAAGGTCATCGAAATCGATGATGGGACTCTTTCATGCGTAATTATCAATAATTTGTTAATAAATAATTTATTCTTTTATAAATACAAGTAGTCGCCTTTGTTTATTAATTGTTGAAACAATAATTACTAAGCGTACTATGAATAGCGCTTGAGATAATTGATAAGAGGCATTGCTTAACAAAAGAACACTCTTGTGGAGATATAAAGTTCATGCTGCAACTATTTATCGCGAAAGACCAGTTGATTACTCAATTAAAAGGTTAAACGAATAGTGCGCTGCTAAGATGATCAGAGCTCCATTGAATCATCAGACCATCATCAATAATATTTCAAACAATGCATCATAAATGGTTACTAAGAAATTTTTAAATTTACCCACCTTAGGGTGTATACGTATCGCGATCAGATAATTGAAAATTATCTCCACGATTTTACCATATTATCTGAATACGAATAACCGTTTATTTCAACATGAAAATTACTCACCACCGTTCTTAGCATCCTCCTTGGCTTCATCCCCGACTGGCTGCACGCTCTCCTTGCTCGTGTTGCATCCCATTTTTCACTGTGCTCCTTTAAATCCTTCCCGATCTTTATCCTCGAATCGCAAACGCCCACCGTTTCTCACGACACTCGTATTATTCGCGATTACGATCGAGCAAGTACTTTTCTCGTTAACATCGAGTCGTCCGTATAAAAGACGCTAATCACGAGGAAGCTTCAACATGTATATATACTCGAAAAATTGTCTTTATTTGAGAAGGACGCAATATTCGTTGGTACGGTAAATCACAGAGCGTACGGATTAAAAAAAAAAAAGTAATTTTGACTGGAGGTGAACGACACGGCGTGGTACCGGCTTACGTTACTCAGGGGGGAAATATACAATTATTTTGTGCGGTTGGTCAAACTGGACGTATAGGTAGATTCTTTAATTCTTATTTGGCCGACGAAGGTAATCTACGGTATTAAAAGAGCGTACAAAAGCTACAACCGGCGAACACTAAACCCTAACCTACACGAGACGAAGAACACAGGTATCCCGTCGGTGTCGCGAGGCGTACTGACACAGCCGTCGACCCTGCCCTTGCGTCTCGACTACGCGAGTCGATATATATTTGCGATTCGATTGTGCGTACGCATCTACGGTCGCGCGGAGACTTTACTTGAGAATCTGCTTGAAGGAACAAGCGTCCCAGCCGCTTTAATTTATTTAGGCTCTCCTAAAAAAGAAATCTATGTTGCAAAAATATAGGCAGGAAATTCAAATTATGAAAAATACATTTACAATGCAATTCGCCACTCCCAACTCTGGTGTGTACTTTTAGCTCTCATTGATTTCACAAACTTGCTTGCAACGAGCAGACTGGTGGCAGACAGGCGCCAGCTTTCGTACTCGTCTCGTTTTCTGGAACGAATATCGATTTTACGGTTTTGATAATCCCACACGGATGATTCATGCTCGCGTATTTGTTTCCGGTTTATATCTCGCGTGACTTGGATTAAAGAGCAGCGACAAACAGCTGTCGCCTTTTTTAAATGTTTCTTTAACACGCGCGGCTGGTTTTTACCATGGAGATGCTTGAGATAGACAGTTAGAACGATTATTAACGAATTTATAGTGTTGTTTATTAAGTAGAAATTGTGTTTTACAATTTCTCGTCGATAATTTATAGAAAATAGATACTTTTATTTTACATGTCCGAAGTGCTCCATTTGTAAGCTTCTTCTTGACGAGCTACCTTCGCGTTTTGAGCCTCGAACCATCGTTTTTCGTATCCATTACTTCTATCCACCCCGTCCCATCTGTGACCCGGTTTAATACCAAAACGATTTGGCATATATGATCCTTGGTACGATGGTCGGTCTGAAAACATAATAATTAAGATATAAGTATACTCCTTGATGACAAATATATTAATAAACAATTAAATCTAAACATTCTCTTACCTGGTTTCCTCTTGCCTTCCTTTATTTGCTTCTGTTTGATATATTCCAACATGGGATCACCTTCTCTCTCCTGTTCTCGGAGTCTTTTATCTAAATCAGCGTCATCGGCATACCTTGCTAATGGTTTACTCATTTCATAGAGATCATCTTTTAATTTCTCTTCACGATCCTCTACCTGTTTCAAACTGATCAAGAAACATACTCTTAGGATCTCCCATATGGTTTTGTGTTGTAAATTAAATTTTGTGCTACTTACCCTGCTCCCCATTTAGCATATTTTTCATTCAATTCTGATTGTCGCTTTTGTTTCTCACGTTCCTCGGCCGCTTCAGCTTCTAAGTTACGTTTTCTTCCAGTTTTTGAATCGCGTAGAACCACTGCTTGACCGACCCCGGTAACTTCTTTGCTAAGCTGTAAAAGAAAATAAATTTTGTAAATTTATTCTGAATTAAAAAAGCAAATGAAATTAAGTACCTTGTTGAAGTGTTCAGCTTCTCGTTTTTTATGCGCCTCTGTTTCTTCTCTTAACGCCCTGGCATTTTGCAATCCTGCTGTCTTTCCATCTAATGTCTTCTTCATTCGTCTTTCATTATCCGCATAGTCAGTATCTCTATGCCTCGACTTTTCCTTTCTATAAGAATTCTCTGTGTGAGAATCGCGTTTATATTTATCATCCGATCTATTCCTTTTAGACTTATGGAAATCATTGCCATCTCTGCTAGGGCTTATATCTCTGTTCTTTCTTCGAGGTGGGCTCATATCTGAATCATAATATCTCCTATATGGCTTGGAACTCTTATCAGAATGTTTATAATTTTTATCTTTGTGTGAACCTCTATGCTTATGTTCCCTCTGTGGACTGAAATCATTATGTCCAGAATGTGAATTTTTATGCTTTTTATTCTGCCTTGGAGGACTCAGATCAGAGTCATGGTTTTTATGTTTCTTATTTTTTGGTGGATTTAAATCTGAATCAGAGTACTTCCTACTTCTCCTAGGAGGGGTTAAATCTGAATCAGAATCTTTCCTATTTCTTCTAGGAGGACTTAAATCTGAATCATTTTTATCTCTATGTTTTATAATCTTTTTACTCTTTCTTGGTGGACTCAAATCAGAATCAGATCTCTCTTTCCTCCTTGTCTTCTTTTTAATTTTACCAGTTGGAATGTCTGTTGAACTATTATCACTGTCACTATTACTTTGCGAAGCTTTGTGCGCATGTTTCTTAGACTTCCTTCTAGGTGGACTTAAATCACTATCTGCATCTGCTTTGTTCTTTTTGGATACTCTTGGAGGAGATAAATCATTATCTAAATGTTTCTTTTGTTTTCTTGGTGGAGATAAATCATGGTTCTTTACTTTTTTAGATTGTTTGTTTTCTTTGTTAGAACTGGTGACGGTCAAGTCTCCACCTTCGTCATCTGCTACAATTTTCCATCTCCTTTTATCTGAGAAGTCAACTGGTCCACGTTCATCTACTACACCAGCAATTTGAGGTGCATCTTCTGCATCCACGAAGATATCAAATTCATTTTCTTCCATAGGTCTCATGTTCTTCAGGTCTATGTCATCATCAACGATTTTAACTCTGCAAAACACATCTTAAAATTTGTGCAAGGAAACGAAGAGTCTTTGTAAAGGATCAATTAGTTTCTAAAGTTATAATCAATTAGTTTCTCTCCTCTTAAAATTTCAAAATACTTCCTGGAAGTTGTGTTAAACAATTACTATAACCTAAAACACAAGGGTCTCCTGTTGAAACTGACAAGAAAAGGTATATTATATGCAAATTGAGACCTACGTTTTAGTTCCTAGTTTCATCTTCTTCTTCTTTTTCTTCTTTTTATCGTCGCCATCTCCGGAGGACAAGTATTTCTTTAAATATTCTTTCTGCTCTACAAATTTCTTCTCCATCGCTGAAACGCGCAACTTATGCTACTAGAATGTTTCACACGTTGTTCACATGGGGACGCTGTGATCGCTATTTAAACATTCGGCGCAAAAATGCACAATACTCTCTCTGGCCCAGAATAATAGTAGCAAAAGAAAATAGATATAGAACGCAACATTTATTATCAAAAAACTAGATTAAATTAAACAATAAATTAAAAATATTACTTTTAATTTTTATTTTGAGTGCTCAGATAGTTTCTGGATTTTTGAATAATTTTGTTACTGCATTTTAAACTTGTAGGTAGGATCCCTTAGCTGCGAAGCTTTGCTTTCCCTATATGCGTGAGCTTAAAATCTGGATCAAGAATTGGTAAGAACTGGACTTTTCATCTTACTTTTAACTGAAATAAAGCAATTGATTTCGATCAGCGGATGAAATTGGAAAAACAGTTATAATTCGTAACAATTAGAAAATTGAAAGATGTGTCAAAACAAATGACAGATGTCATGAAACGTTGATTTTGATTGATGTCATCGCAATTTTGCGCTACGACATAACTTACAGCTGCATTCGCCAATAATTCCCGTTTAAATATTCACTTGCTACTATTATTATGGGATAGAGGGAGTATTTCTTTGAAAATATTAATAAAATTTCCATAGTTTTATTACTTGGTAATATAACTTGGAATATTAAAAATCTTTAATGAAAAACCTCGCATGGGGAACAAGGAAATCCCTGAGATATAAATTATCAGCACGGATCCATGAACATGAAATTAATGATTTAATTAGCGGACCGTCTCAAAATCTTTCATACGTGCATCAGATATATCTGATTTTCGGTTTAATGGCCATCCATTATGCATTACATTTATCGCTAGCCTGCACTTGACGTGGAAAGATGGTTTGATCATGATAAATCATGCTACTTGATGGTTTCTGACCACACAAACTATTAACCCAATTTTCAAAACAACAGTATTTAATCTAAATATTAAATAAATATGAAATAGTTCATTCTTTATCTCTGAGGTAAAGTTAGGGCTTGCTATGGTGCTTCAAGGTCCTGGGGCACAGTTTGGCCCCCCTCTGGTGGAACATAGGCTTCCTTTTTAGCTGAGTGAGGGTAAAAGTAGGGAAGGGGAAGCCCATCATTTTGGAGAACCTCCTCCTCACGTGACCCCAGCCTTAGGATCCACGGTGGATCCCATACCAGAACTTCATCGACCATATCCATCGACCCATGTACAGTCTAGTCAGCAAAGCGAGACCATCTAATCCGTGTCCACTGTACAAGAAACTGAAGAACGGTTCTCCATTGGTCGACCAGAGGAAAGTGAGTAATTTACATGGTGCTGGAAGTGGAAAGGACGAGTAGGAGGAGGTAGGGGAGCGAAAGTGAACACAACTCCAAGAATGGGCTGGAAGAGACGGGCTCCTCGAGCCAGCGGCTGATACTTTTGACGTAGGAGCATTGCTATCGACGTTTGCCGTCGATCCGTCGATACTTGGTACCTTTTATTCTCGTCTGGTTGCTCGAAATTACCATCGTGCGTGCGTGGAAAATGAAAGCGAGGCAGGACGCCTGGAGAGGCTACCTGGCACTGTGAGACCAGTTTCAAACGTATCGTGTGCAAGGTTATGGGAGTGTGCCAGTGATTCTCACTGACATGCATGCAACAATTTCGTTCATCAATCATCCTAAAACATTCTTCACCTGAGCGTCCTTCTACTCGCTGATCCTCAACATGACGCGGAAATTGAGCAAATTCCTGATACTCTTCGACAACACAAATCTTCTGTACTTCCCTGGACACTTTTTGTCCGGTCGGGTACTCATCGAACTGGACGACGAGGCTTAGTAAGTAACATTTATTTGTACATTCTTTTTGAAATCGGTGATGCCATTTGCGCGTAATTATTATCGAAGAGACGTCACCGCAGTGAGGCGTTGAATATTAATCTACCGACGCGACGGCGGGAGCGTGATGATTTAATTTGAAACTCATCTTTTTTCCATTTTCTATAAATAAGCAATTAACAGCATTTTTAATTATAGCTGTAATTAATTAACACTTAAGAAGAGTGTAACAGTTTTGAATCGTGTCAATGATATGAATTACTTTCTCTGTAGAAAGTGGAATGAATAAAATATTATTCACAAAAAAATGAAATATAGTGTTTCAGGGCTGCATTTCCACGTGATCGGCGAAGGAGTGGTTCGCGTACGGAGCCAACGTGCCGAGAGGGTTTACGATAAAGAAAACTACATTGATTTTCGTATGAGATTATTGGGCGAGCCAGGTAATGAAAATAAATTGCATTCTCATAAACAATCGCTATAGAAATTCGTTTGTTCCATACCACACCTACGACACCGTGGTTCGTAATAATTCTTGGTTCGATGACACCGTGCAGGAGAGGGACCATCGCTGCTGTCGCCGGGGATCCATAGCTTTCCATTCAAATTAGGCTTGCCTTTGGGTCTGCCGTCCACTTTCTTGGGTAAACATGGATGGGTACAGTATTACTGCAAGGCCGCTCTCCGGGAACCGGGTGGTCTCACTCACAAGAACCAACAAGTCTTCATTGTGATGAATCCCATTGATTTGAATTTAGAGCAACCAATTTTGGCGGTAAGACATTACGAAGGTTTAATAATTAATTTATCAATTGATGTACTACATCCCAAGGTTCATATACATTGTTTTGAAAACTGTTTCACAATGTTGTGTGGAAGATAATTATTACGTAGGCACGTGACATTCAGTTCCGAATGCTCGCGACCGCATTGTTGATTCAATTGTATAGTCACATTCATTGCACACGCCTTAAATTACGTAATCGGCTGGTTTCCAATGATAGCCGATATAGCATTGATCTGGTGAATGCGAAAAAATAAAAAAAGAATAAAAATGTGAAAGACAATAGACACCTGTTCCCAGAATCTCACTTATATCGACTATTTCTTTTCCAAATAGCAACCAGCTAGACAGGAAATAGAACAGCGTGTCGGGGTATCCTGTGTCTCCGGAGGGCCAGTATTTTGCAGAGTGAGCCTCGACAGAGGCGGATATGTACCTGGTGAAACTATCGGTATTTCAGCGACAGTCAGCAATCGAAGCAAGGTGCGTATCGTATTTCTATCGGATGGTTGACCAAAAGAATTCCTACCGTGGAAACAGGGTCAGCATAACATGATACTTTAACAGGTGAACGTTCTTTATGCTTGAAAGGTGTAATGGAGAACCTCTGGGACAAAATTGACCCAGCCCCCTCTTATTGCATAATTTATATCTTCAACAGGTGACGATGAAGTCGACTAAAGCGTCCTTGACGGAAACCATTCAGTACCGGTGTCGGGGTAAAGTGCTGGCAAGTGAGACAAGAGAGTTGGCAAGTGTATCCCGAGGGAAGATCCGTCCTGGTGAAGGAGAAGAGTGGTTGAACGAGCAAATGTACGTCCCTCCTTTGCCTCCCACTAATCTGCGTGGCTGCAATCTTATCAACGTTCTTTATCACGTCTACGTGAGTAAAAGCAGTGATTATGGTAATTACAGTAGCATGACTAATTTGTCACACTCTCTTTCCTTTATGGTAAAATATGGTTACAGTTCGTGATAAGTCCGAAGAGCTTGGATAAAGAGATCAAGTTACAAATACCAATCGTCCTGGCGACGTATCCTTTGAGGCAGGAGGGTGCTCCAGCAGGGACTGCACCGTCGAAAAGGGGGGCACATTACCCGTCAACCCTGCCAATATTTAGACCATGGTTGGACGACAAGGCTTTCGAGATACAAGAATGAACGTTTAATTAAGTTCGACAGAAACGGTTTTAATATACAAATTTTAAGGAACATCTGTGGACTTTTGACAGAGATAATACGCTTATAACAATGCTTGTTCTTTAAAACGAAAGTGGGACTAAAAATACTTATCACATTCACATTCCATTTTTTTACTAAATTTAGAGACTAGGTAGGAAATATGAGAATGTAGGTATTAAAAAAATACAAATGTAGAAGTAATTTTGTTAATACTTTGTAAATGTTACGTTACGAATGAAATATATTGTAAAAAGTATTTTTTGAGTATCTTTAAGTATAGATTAGTAAACGGAGTTATATCACTTGAACCTGAAAAATCAATGATATTCTTAAGAATTTTTTATTCAGAAAATTACGAAGTAAATAGAAAAACTGTTCACCAAAATGGCGAATTTTTGACGTTCCCCGTAACCACTGTGAGGCACCTGTAGCTCCGTCATTTTGCAAAAAAAAGGAAATACTAAAATACTATCGTGTATATCGAGACATGTATAATAAAATGTACATATCAGACTTTTTTATTGACTTCATGATTTAAAAAAAAAAATCTTATGACATAACTTAATGTCATTAACAAATTATTTTTACAATGCAATAAATGTATAAAATTACACGTTGAACGGGTAAAATTGCCATATTCATGTACCATAAATATAATTTCTCGAAAAGAGAAAGTATAAAATGTATGAAATTATTTTCAAGTCCCCATTTCTCCCTTCAATTTCTCCAAAACTTTCTCCACAGTGGTTCCAGATACTACAACAACCTTCTGTCGACTTTTGGAACCCTATAAAAGATAATTTCCCATATAAAATTAACTAAGAAAAAGAAAAGAAAATCCAATCAGTGAATATTAAACTAACTCTATCTAAAGACACATCGGACTTTCTCATTCCCAAAACGGAAGCTAAATATTTCACGAGTTCCGTGTTTGCTTCACCCTCAACAGGAGGCGCGGAAATTGCAACGCCAACAGCATCTTCAGAAATATCTAAAAAAAATTGTATTCTAAACACACGAAACTCTCGTCACTTCACAACTAATTACCTGTTATATTATTATGTTTTGCCCCAGGTTTTGCCTGTATTTTTATAGTAACATTCCCGCTTTTATCCGTACCCACGGGTCCCTTAGGTTCCTATTAAAATTTGTCTATTTATAAAAAAAAATGTGATTCAAAAAGCGCGCAATATTCGATCAGAATTTTTTTAAAAATAGTATCTAGTAAGTTGCAAATATAATGTTGCCATTCCTGTATTCGCAAGCGACGCCTAGCAGCATGAAATATAACTAGAAAGTGTATCATAGAAAATGTCATGTTATTTTCTTAATAGGTGATCAAATCACGATCACTCATCAAGTAAACATCTTCGCAATTGGGATCGGTAAGTCATAAATTTATCTTGCTAACTAACCTCAATGACGGGTGCTTTTTGAGTCTTCCCAGCTTTCTTTGAACCTTGTTTCGACATTTCTCGAGTATTCGTTAAGGATTGCAAAAGTTTTCTACGTAGGCACGTATTACCAGAGTACCACGTCATTTAGTATTTTCCTCGATCACTCACACCATATTTTACGTTTGGCGGATTTGCTTTATGATGTTTCGAATGATACTTTTAACCTCAACAACTGTGAATGACCGAAGCTTCTGCGCACGTGTAACAGTGCTGCCAACTGGTCCCTAGTAACATTCCCATTCCCGCAAAATATTCAATAATTTAAATTACTTTCAGATCAAAATGCCCAAGAAATTCGTCGGTGAAAATAGCAAAGCTGTCGCAGCTAGAGCTCGAAAAGCGGCGGCAAAAGAAGCAGAAAATACAAAAAAGGCTCTGGAAGCTGAAGAAAAAGCTTGGAAGGATGACGATAAACAAGTTCTTAAAAAGAAACAGCGACAGGTATTCCACTACCATTCAAATTTAAAAAACAATTTCTCTAAATTTTAATGACCATTTTAGGAGGAGCTTGAAAAGAAACGCCAACAGCAGTTGGAAAAGAAAGCAGAAGTGAAAGCCCTCCTTGAAAAGGAAATGGCAACTATAAAAGTGGGTGGCAAACAACCGGCGTCAAAAATAACTAGAGCAGAAATCGTGGCTGTGACTGAGAAACGGAATCAAGTAGCAATGAAGAAGAAGGAAGATGAGAAACCAATTGAAGAGAATTGGAATAGGCTAACGATCGAAGGTGAAACAGCACATGGTATAGATGAGGCTTTATCTGTTTTAAGGTAAGAATTAATTTAATATGCTAACCATTACATTATTGAGGAACCTAATAAAATTGTTTTGATTTAGTACAAAGGATCCAGAAGTTGATCGTCATCCTGAGAAGCGTGTGAAGGCTGCGTATGCGAGTTTTGAAGAGAGAATGATGCCTATTATTAAGGAGCAAAATCCTACCCTAAGGTTAAGTCAATTGAAGCAGATATTAAAGAAGGAATGGATGAAATCGCCTGAGAATCCATTGAATCAAAAACTCCTACTAAACCGTTGATACGAAACGCATGCGACTGATTAAATGATTTGATGGAATATGTGAAATAAGAAGACTCATTATAATTATAATCACGAACAAATCAAGTATCTGTACACAATTTTATTGTAAACGAATAAGTTATACTCCGTTAGAACACATAAAATAACATTTGCATAAAATCATCTTTGGTATAACTTATACGCTACTACATAGCCTCTACATTGTATTTTACACATTCATTTGAAGAAAAAGAATCAATTAAAGGCTGCGAAAATTTAAACAGAATCGTTTCAACGATCGTGTACACGTTTTGGCACAGTTACTATACAATTTTACAAAACTTCAGTATCCTACGTTCATATAAAAACTCGTAAAAAAGATAAAATAGTTATTAAAAAAGGATTGGTTAGTTCATTGCAATTGTATAAAAATAGTATTCTATACAAATGAATTTTCACCTGTTAGACTCTTAGATTTATATACAAACGATTCTAATCTTTGTCTCGATGCATTCAATTCGCTGTGGCAAATCAAGCACAAGGCACTGTGTCTTCTCTGTCATGTACAATGAGTAAAGTACCCGTACAAAGAACTTGATTTAAATATAATCTTATCAAATAATAACAATATGTGCTGCTTTAGTGAACACATATACCCAGTCATTTCACCGTTACCACCTTCTTATTCTTCCATAGATCTATAAAACAATGAATCATGTGATTCACTTGGTCCGGGCAATCAGTCATTGGTGTGTGCGCGGCAGTCGGTATGGCTTCCAGAAAAGCCTTCAACATGGTCTGAAATAATTAACATAATTACAATTGTGTTAAGAATATCAATGAATCCTTTACGTAGTAATTTTCTTCAGTCTTCAAGCTTTAATTTGATATAACATAAGTGTTATTTCGTGAAACTTTTATGTCATGAAATCGTATCCATATGATATGCAGCAACGTAACACCATAAAAGAAGTGTCGAAAAATCGTACCCTCTCCATCTGGCATTCCTGCACGAGCGACACTTTGTTGTCCCTTAGTCCATGTATGAGAAGAGTCGGCGTGCATATCCTTCTATGGAAGACGTAGTCCCCTTCCGGCCAGACCATGCCGTCCAAAACGTGTTTCATGTGCGATGGCCATTGTTCTGGTGGCTCGGGGCCGCAGTAAGGGTGTTGACGGCCCCTCGCCGAATATAATATATCTCTGTGAAGGCCGCACATTAAAAATGGTGCTAAAATCGCTCTCAGGCAACAATGACCAGCGCTCTCCGTGCTGGGCGCTGCCAATGGTGTTGGACCACCTCCGGATATCAGGACTAGCTGATGGATACTGGTGTCGTATTTACAGGCCAATGCGGCTGCAAAACTGCATCTATAATTAATAAAAAATCATGCAATTCGCACTCTGGTTGCTTTCATTCTTCACGCATTCCTTCTCAATGAAAAATGAAAATCTAGAAAAGATGGGTTTATTTATTGCAGAAGTCAGAGGATAATGTCCTTTTTCTTAGCCCGTGGCACTTAAACTCATTGCCGCAATATTGTGTAGGACATAGGTGTGAATTTTTCTCGCTGTTGAACGGCTATTGAACTGTACGTGGACACAGCCGACGGCCTACATGTCATGTTGCAATGTCGCTCGATAAATTAAACAGCGCTTACGGCATCGCGTCGTGTAGGTCGTGATTGTCGGTCAACTGACCGAATTCGTTAACGAACATTAAATAATTTTCTCTCGTGTAAAAATTACTAATTACCGAGCAGGTCTAAATTTCTCATCCGAGAAACGGTAATGTGTACGTTACACTCTAATAACGGCTAGCGCCACGTTGCTCAAGTAAAATCCAAAGAACTCGAGGAACGTGGATTAAATGCGCTTTCAGCTTCACCCATTAGCCGTTGAACGCGTGCGGCTAATGCAGCGATTCGAACGTCGAGGAATTTGTAATCTTCGAGAGAGTGGAGATACGATAAGACACAGAGTCTTGCATGTACCGTGCAATTACGATACCAGCGGATGCTTTTAAATGATCGGAGATAAGTTACGCGATTACAACGAGTTTCTACTCTAGTCACGGTCAAATGATAAACAAAAGCAAACCTTACCCATAGTTGTGCGCGACCAGGACACATTTTTGACCCGGCCTGAATGCATAATGACAAAGGACGGTGTCCAAATCCTTCAGCAGCTTATTAAAATGATAATCTCTTGATCGACTAGGTGCTGAACTCATCCCGTGTCCCAGCATATCAGGAGCGATGCAAGGATAACCCAAAGCGGAAAAGTAGCGGAGCTGATGTTCAAAGATCTCTGCGGATGATCCGAAGCCATGAAGAAATACGATCATAGGTTTTCTGTTTCTTCGGAATGTCACCAGATCCGGAGGAGAAGAATCCATTTCCTCGATATTTGGCCATGTTTTTCTGTAATCCTCCAGTTCAATGGAAGCAGCCTCGGTTCTAAGTTCGAACCTTCCCATCTTCTCGTTCCAACTGGATTCGTCTGACTCGACAGGGTTACAGAGCTTTTCCTTGAGCTTGTTCTTCTTGGTCCTGAAGGACGACTCGTTGCCCTTGAATTCGAGCCGCAGCTTCTCGAAACTGGCCTCGTTAACAGTTTCCTCGCCGCTCTCGAGATTATCCGTCGAGATATCGATTCCTTCGACGCTTTGAACGCTCGAATCCTGCGGCTCGTTCCTTTCCGCATCATTCTCCCCGGTGACCTCCGATCCCTCGTTGGTCAGCTGCTCGCCGCTTCTCGGAATCATCGTCCCGTCCGTTCTCTTTGTCGGCTGACCTCGAGGATCGTTCTGTTGGCTACCTGTGCCACTCAGATCCTCCCAACTGTTCCTCAGCAACAGTGGCGTTCTGCCCAATTTCTCGTCGATGATCCTCAACAACGATTGCTCCAGGCTTGGCTCCTGGTCCGGCTGAAACTCTATTGTCTCCACGCTGTTGATACCTGAATCGATGCAATCTAATTGTTCCAAAGTGACTTCAGGCCTCAGGTAGAAGTCCAGGGAATCTGGATCGTTGGCGGATCCTATGAAGCCTCGGTTCACGTAGCCTTCGTTCTTGCAGTTTTTCTCCTCTTGTTTCTCCGCATGGAAAGAGAAGTTGATGTCTTTGAACGGTTCATCGTCCTCCGTTTTCCTTTTGTCCGACGCTTCTTTATCCGTGCTCGATTGCTTGGAGCCGTTTTCCTTGTTACCAACCCGCGGATCTTTGATAAGAGTGTCCTCCGCGCCGGCGATGTACCTCACCGTGTCGTCCAAGATCTCCTCCAGCAGCACGTTGATGTACTTCTCTAGATCCTTCACGATTTTGTTCTTGATCTTCTGTTCGTCCGCCTGTTGATCCTTCTTATCAATCTCCTCATCATCCTTTCTCTCCTCCGTTTTAACTGGCTCAACCTCGGCGACCTGAAGCTTCTGCAAGTTTACAGACACCCTCTGCTCGAGTTCCTCTATTCCACGCTCGCTCTTTTCAGCCTCGCAGAGGCTGGTTCTGATCCTGTTCAACTCTGCAGAGATAATCTGCTCCTCGGTAGTGCTCAGTCTCCTGGACTGCCGGAAGGAACACCTACAGTTCCCTGAAGAATGAGGCCTCCGGGACCAACGAGTGAAGAAGTTGTCTATGATGGATTCTGGACGATCGTTGGTGTTCTCGTAGAACCATCCGCTCTTCAGGGTCGGTTTCAAGATCCTCAACGTTCTTCTTGGACCCACGATGAAGAAGTCGCAATCGGGGAGCTCTACCTTGCCTGGACCCACTCGGTTCCGGTTTCTCCAGTACTCGAAGAACTTTGTGTACCAGGGTGCCCCTGGTACAGTCTCTTCTGCCTCCGTGGCCATTTCTTTAATGATGATTCGTCAATCATAAAGATATCCTTGAAGAGAACTTCAAATTTCTTCTGTTTTTTTGCATATAAAGTGGTGCAGTTCTTTCTGAAGACTCTAGGTCTGACTCACGGGTTAAAGACGAATTTTCACCGTTGCATATCTCCTAATAACAACGTTATCAGCCGATAACCTATTCTTCTTTGGGTTTACTCACTGCTGCATCAATTAATCAAGTGGCATTGGGTAGTTTTTATTGTTTCCAGTGACTTTGTTGAAATTTTTCTACCAGCTCGTTCCAGCGGAGTGCATAGTTAGTTTTGCAACACTTTTCCTGTAATTCCTGCAATCCTTGCTCGAACAGACACGATTTCCCCGCGAAAAACGAAAGTAACATTTCTACGGGCTCCTTCTATTAGGCAGCGGTGTTCACGGTTCGCTGGGTTAGCAATGGTCGCTCCTCCTAATTGCTATCTTTGATGCCTTCGACCTGCGGAGAAGAAGTCCGATTAGAGGGCTCGTGCACCTTGTTTCCAATGTTATTTTATGCGGTAATATGTTCAGCCACGTTGAAGACCAGACACCAAACCACACACAACTTTTACATAACTACTTCTGTGTACCTTCAGTCATACTCCAAGAAACAATTAAATCTTAAAGAATTCAAATTTCCATCGCGTTGAGCCAATCGCATCGCATTTTAATGCACGGATGACGAATGCGGTGAGGCAATGAGAAATAAAGAATATATCCCGCAGGATTACAGTGGCTCGTAAAAATATCCTATTTTTATTTACATATCGAGTCGATAAATAGTTCGATCATTACCTGATACATATTTTTCAACCACTATTGTTGCCAAACAAGTTATCAAGATTTGTTTTTCAGTTTGGAACCGCACGGTAGCTGTTTATCTACGATAGCATGATCAGGTTTCGCATATTTATGTCGCAACTAAATATCAGACATTCGTTTTATTTCATTTTTGCGAACGTATGTAAATTAGCACGATAGAAAGTTCGATAAGAGTATTTCTCAATTATCCTCAGAGCGAGAGTATACTTTACGTCTACCATTTTAAATATAATTACATTTAAGTTCCGTGACCATTATTTAGGTTATTCAAATATGCGCGGGATGTCGGGCGTGATGATTGCGCGCGCAGATTCAAACCGCCAAAAAGAAAAAAATCTCTTAACAATAATAACAATGTACATATCATTATCGTGTCTCTGTTAACACGAAACACGTTATTATAATTGCTGACTGTTCCGTATTACGCATGGTTTCCTGTTTTATACCTCGACAATGACACTGTTACGCAGAAACTCTCACAAGGGGGGAGAAACGGTATATAAGTATCGCGTGGTTGTCAAACCTTTGTTTGCCTTGCTCTCAAGCAACGTGCAATATTCGTTTTAGCCCTTGGCTCGCGAAAAACACTCATTATTGCACTTACCCTTTGTACCTTGACTGTTGATCGCCTTTTTTCCGCACACAGCATAAGTACACACGTTGGTTCAAAGCCGACTGCGAGCTTTACCCATCCCTCGTCCACTGAAAGATCACTTGTTGCTCGCCAGTGATTCTCACCTCGATTATCCACTCGAAAAAACGTTTTTAACACTACGAATTCGGTCTATTAACACACGCGTTAAACCGTCAATTGACACTTCCTCTTGGCAGAGGCGGACTGTTCTGGCAGGCGAAAAAGAAAAATAAAATCGACCACAGGAACTTGGGGGACCACTTTCACGAGAGACGAGAGCCGCCCAATGGGGGCACACGTTGAAAATTCATGTTCAATGGGTCGCTTTTATTTTTTCGAGCCAATTATCCGCGAGGAAAAGAACAGGATGTACACGTTTTCGACACGCTCAGTCGCGTGTCACCGTCCACGGTGCTTCTCGACGACCGTTGATACATCCGCGACAGGATCGCGACGACGAAGGCACACTGAGGATCGTCCAAGTATACCGCGTCACGGAGCCGTGTCGACTGCATGCACGACGAGGTAGCGCGCATTTTCGTGGGCGTGGAACGGCGAATTAAAACGGGAAAATTAAGGACGATTGACACTGAACTGCCGCACGTCGGGTCACGGCGGCCATTGCGCGTCCCGAGGCACACGCACGCCGCGCACACGAGACAGCGCCACCCCACTTCGCGCGCTTTCCTACACAGTGTCCTGACAACAGTAAAAGGAAAACCAAATTTAAAAACCCTGTAAAATACCATAAAATTTCTTCAAAATATTTTAGCCAATAATATTCGATTTTCTCCAGGTATTTTAACCCATAAATTCAAACTTCGGGGGAATCGTTGTTGGCAAGTGCCGGAAATTGATAGTCCTTTTGTATTTTGCGTTTTCTTTTTTCTCAGGTTACATCGGTTAGGTATTTTTTTTATTTTAATATATTCGACAGATTCAATATGATGAATCATGAATCATATGGCTGTTTATGGTTTTTAGAATAAGTGTTAGTGAACTGATTCGAATAGGATGCAAGGGTTAGGAAAAATGGCGGAAGAAAGATGAGATAGGTAAATTTTGAAATGTTAAAGTGCAAGTTTAGCGACTACTCATTATTATTTTGACTATCATATTATTTAAACAACTTTATGAAACTAAATAAATTTTTTGTAAACTTTTGGTATGATTTTTTATTACAAGGACTATAATTCTTGAACACCCGATGTATAGTTTGTTTGGTATGAATCCACTGCGTTGAAAGCCCAGCGTGCCAGAGTGCCCGTTACTTTTCTGCCATGGTCACGTCACAGGAACAGAGGCTGTCCTCTTTCATAATCAATTTTGGACCCAGACTATCATAAGATATTAATATATTCCTATTTTTATTATTAATTTTTAAAGAAACACGTTCTTCGTATCGGTAACCAACGGCTTCGGTTGATCAATCCTAATCATACTCAATCTTAACTGGTTTAAAGTATCATGTTATGCGTACAGTATGATTCAAAAGTATTGCTTTCATTTGAACTTGAAATGCAATTTTACAAATGATTTTTGAAAGGATTTTGCACGCCTGTCCTACATTAAAAGAAAAACGAGAAAACGATGGGTGCGCAGTGCGCGTAGCGGAAACAAGTAAAAATATGGTTCCGGTCAAAGAAAGCTGATGATAGAAAATAAATTTCATTTGTCTTTCTTTTCTACGCTGTTTGCAGAGAAATCTGGGCGTTGCTATTTAACGATGTTTGTTTCTTTCACTTAACAGGAAAATTTCAAATAACATCATTTAAGTGACGTCTAGGTGTAAATGTCATCACGTATGTGCTTCCGGTAACCAAACGGTACTAATAAAATGAGGCTAAACTTTAACGGAAGCATACAATTTTTAGGGTCGCGAGAAACGGACCATGACTATTTATGTACAGTCTCTACAACGCTTTAATTAAAAATTAAATTGTTAATTCTGTTTTAAATAGTCGTGACTTTTACATGAACTTAGAATTTTGTTCTCTTTGTTATTGATCATGGTTCGATTAGAAGAATCGTGTAATCGGGGGGCATCAATATTCTAGTCGTTGTCTTTGTACCGTATGAGCATTGATTAAAATAATTTTCAGCCACTGCAATACGGGACCGTGACCCGAATTATGACTAACACACATTTTTTTATATGGTAATTATTAGGTTGCCTTTTTTTCTGTTTACAATATCAGTTGCATTCCCAGGCATAATAATTACATATACAAGACATGTGTCATTAAGAGGTTGATTGGAAATCAGGAGTCGTGGTGATCTAATAAGCGTTCTGATTATGCCGTTATAAACGTGAGTTAATTTCGATCAATGACCTGTTAACACACCAACCCTTGGATTGGTATTAGAATTTAAATTTTTGTTCTCATTTTTCGAAAAATCTCTCGTTTCCTGAGGTGTTATCTTGGATAAACTTTCGAACTAAAAATGCATTTTCCTATGCTCGGTTCAATCTCATTGATGGTTGACATAAGTAAAGGAAGTGATAAGGATCCTGATAAGAGTGCAACAACCTATTCTAGCGTCTCCATTTAGCAATAAGAAAATACATTGAATTCAATAAGTTCTATCTATATTTAATTGAAGCATTTAATTGATTAATAACTTTAATTAAAGGAAGTTTGTTTGAAATTAAAGGAACACTGATGATGGTCTCTATCGAGAATCAATACGTTGGTAACATTAACACCTGATGTCAAAGTTTGGAAAATGAAAATAACCAAAACCAATAAAAAAAGAATTAATTATTGAATATTATCTACTTGTATCGCTATCAAAATGATACATTAGATTTGATGAATTTTTGCGGGCACTTCAATTTCAATTTACAAAAAAATCAATCAATTATTGTCCAATTCACTGGTAACATTTTCTCCAAATTTTAACACGTTATCACTTTAAAATTTATCTTGTGCGTTATGCAAAACGTGTCATTATCTCGTTCTTCACGTGTATACTGTCACAAAGACATTCCTTTAGCGGTACGCTCGAAGGTAATATAATCAGAGGTTGCTGCCAAATGTTTGCTCTTTCCACCGTGTTTATGCAGTTATTCCTGTATAATCATCCATGGTATGTAACTCCTCTAAAATGGACGGTTCTGCAAGTATTTTTATTCGCTCCGGTACACAGGGTACGCGTGTGGCGTTATGCTTAACTATGATGTGGGTCGCTTCAATTTTTCTGTCCCATTCACCCCAGATAATATTACTTATCGAATAATTACTTCATACCACCTCGGATTAGGATGCTTTTCATCTTATCGTTAGTACTTAGACATCATAGACTTTTTTTCAGAACAACCCTTATTTGTAAAATAAATCCCGTGAAAAAATCTGTAAACAGATCAGGGATATGCAGGTACCCTCGATTAGAGACGTATCGCGAATCAAATTCGACCCATAATCGCGATTCTCAGTTCAAGTAAACAATAAGCTATCATCTAGTTTGCAACGAAGCAGGAAAGGTGGACGATAAGCAGTGCAAATTTGTCATCGTGAAAAATTTACGTGTTAAAATATTAACCTAGAGCGCGAAGTTTCTGCTATCTCTGGCCTCGGTGCAAACACCTAAGTCCTTTGCGAGGGAATTAACGTGCAGGTCGTTTACCCAACGGCCAGTAACGAGTATAAAGGGAGGTTCGGATTGTGGCGAACACTTCGTTATCGAACATCTCGTTAAGATGCAGTCGGGAATAGCCTGTATCGTCACCGTCCTCGTCGGATCGGTTGTGTTCGTGATCCTCGACTTCAGCGGTCCTGTCGCGGTCGCGGAAACGATCGACGGGGACGAGCACAAGATCCTTTTGGACTGCAAGCACTCGGATTACAGGACCTACGTACAGTGCTTGACCAGACACAGAAGACATCATGGTTCGAATAACTTGGATTTTGGTTAGAGCCTAATTTTTATCCTGGGTGGGCCGAACACCCCTAGTGTCAACTATTTAGTGTCGTTTAATATTTTGAGGGAGTCAGGGTGAAATATAAAGAAAAAGTATGAAATTTTGTTAAGATCTTGCCTGTATGGAGACATGCCATAAGAAATGCGAAACCGATAACGGTTGCGACCGGGATTGCATTCACTGTTACAAAAAGACGAAGCGCAAACACCAAGTGATCACCGAATACGAGACCGAATGTGTTTCTGGGGACTGTAGTAGTAGTAGTAGTAATAATAAGGGTCAACAATCGGGTGCCAATATTACTACTAACATTGAGATTCGTAATATTATTAATGGATCCGGAGTGTGTTGTCGTAAGTAACAAAATAATTGTTGGTCAAGAGGGAGAGCAGAAAAAATAATGATTGCTATTTTTCTCTTTGATTAGCCACTTGCAAACCACCAGTTCCTTGTCCACCAGTATCACCGACAACACACTCACCATCAGCAACATCACCATCAGCAACATCACCATCAGCAACATCATCAACAGCAACATCACCATCAACAGTTCCACCGACTGTATCATGTTGTCGTAAGTATATCGGTTGCAATTATTCGAAATAAGAATTAATCAATTTCTTTTTTAATTAGCCACTTGCAACCCACCAACAATTTGCTCACCACTTCTTCTTTCGGTACCACCCTGTATCATTCCCTACTGTCCACCATATTTTCTTGGTGGAGGTGGATGGGGCGGAGGTGGCGGATGGGGTGGAGGTGGTGGATGGGGCGGTGTTGGTGGATGGGGTGGAGGTGGCGGAGGAGGTGGTTGGGGTGGAGGAGGTGGATGGGGTGGATGGGGTGGATGGGGTGGATGGGGTGGATGTCCATACCAAAACATATGGTTATGTTTTTCAGTAAGTACAAAATCAAAATGAATCATTTTGGATTTTCAAAAATTTTACCTGTTACTTATAGTTTTATCGCGGGGGATATGGACTAGACTGTTCAGGATGTGGAATCCCATATTCTCAACACAGATGCGACGTGCCTTGTCAGACGATAACAAATCCAGTTGCCACGAAACCCTGCACGAGTCCACAATGCGTGGGTGGTACGTTCAATTTTACAAAATATAAATTAAAATTGGATACAATATTTTGTATGTTTGTTTTCAGGTGTACAAGCATAACAATCCCTTAATGAGGCTGAACTATAAAATAGAATCTTCATAATGTATAATTTTCTTTTGTTAAATTTACAATAGATTAAGAACTGTTATACGTTAATGGAATTTGTAAGAGAAAAATATATAACGCCTTGCAATAATTTAAATTTGAGTATAGGTGGACACCTTGTTACTCATTTCAATGACAACAGATCCAACAAGACTGGTTGGGTTCCCTTGTTCTCGAGGAATTTTGAATTTGTGCCTCGAGAACGAGCGACAGCTGCTCTATCTTAATATAAAAATGTGAAACATTTCGTACTGCAACAGTCTAACGTATGTCAGTGACTACAGATATAAGTCGGATCTGTAGCATCGACGAGAGACTACAATAGAGATCTTCTATTTTCCTATGATAAAACAGAAATCAACATTATCAAAAACTGTTACAAAAAGTGCCTGTTCTAAATGGTGCGCAATTTGACAATTGAAAATTTAAAAATTAACGAAATAAAAAATTACGTTTTCTTTGAAATAAGTGGCACTGACGCATGATTGATGAAAGCAAAATATGTTGTGGTCAAAATATAATTTAAATGGGGCTAAATTCGCTAATTAGAAATTTTGTGTTTAGTAAACCGTGTGATGGCCACAAAGCAGACAAAATCGTATAGATCCTTCCGAAACAAATATATTTTTGCGTGGAATAAAGTATACATATGTATATAATTCATATTTTTTGTATACTAAATATTCTAAAAAAATATTATTTTCATAAATAAATCGGCTTAACAAGTTTTCTTAAATATAAGTTTCACTATGATTATGATACATTACTTTTCTTTCTATTATTGCATTTTTCTATAGAGTTAAATAGCTTCTGTTTTTAAATACATTTCTATTTCGTATAATGAGAACAATGTTTAAAATTTTTGCGTCACAATCAAATTAAAGTAGAATCGAATGCAATTCTGTTTAGTTTTACTCTGTTATTAATAAATATTATATTAAATTATTTCTTAAATAATAATAATCAGTGCACGGTAATAAAAATACAAATAAAAAATAAATTATTAAAATTATAAAAGGTTACAAAATTAGAAAAGTAATTAATACAAAAAGACATTCATTCATGTCGAACTATGATATGTACAAGTTAAATTGTACTCTTAATATTTTCACCAAATTTCGTTATTCAAAGTCTATATTTTTAATTTTCAACAACGTTTGTAATATAGCTGACTGCTATTTACAATTCTAGTCTCAAAATTTATATAATGTTAATATGAAACAACAGTGCTATTGAACCAATCATCTGCTAACTAATAATCAATCATCCAAACCAGTTGTTCACAAAAGAATTGAATCCATTACTAAGGGAAGAAAAAATTCCGTTATTTGATTCTGAAGCTGTATTGGCTCCAGAATGTGGTCGAAAATGTATCACATGGTCCCGATTAATATGGTCCCTGTTTCCATTGTAAAAATTAGATGCAGCTTCATCCTCATTTGGGTGCCTCTGTTAATCAATTGTCTATTTATTAAGGAAACGAACACATCATGGTGTATATGGAATAAATATGATAAAGTACGCCCTAGAGTGGCCGTCAGATTGTTACGCGTTTGCCATATCGCGAGCATCGATAAAAATTTAAAATTTTTTAATTCTAAAATTTAAAATTTCTAAATATTCGAAATGTTAGAATTCGCTGATATTATTCTTTTTTTTTTAAATTAATAGTGCAACTTTCCAAGATAAATGATTAAAGTTGCAAAAGGATTAAGTGAAATATTATACTTACGCTTGCTCTGTATAATGTTACATTGAAAGACGTAGGGTGTTGCTCTAATACTCTAAATTCAACATCACGGGGCATATATCCATTTGCATATACCTATACATCAAAATAATATAGTAATATAAAGTAAAATAACTATGTCACTGTCATAATCGAATATGTTCATTTAACTCTAATATGAAATTACCTCTAATTTGTATACTCCTGGCAGTAAGATTCTCCAAAATTCCCCATATTTTGTAGTGAGAAAACTAACGTCTCTTGATTTCACTTTGATAGATGCTCTTTCAATGGGGTTTCCGTTTTCATCCACGACAAATCCACGAACTCCTCTGTGAGCCTCTGCTAAGAACTTGATGAGAGCCTAAAAACAACCAATATATATTACATATAAATTTAACATTTTTTTTTTTAATGCTAAAAAATTCAATTTTTTTCGCATTCAATGTTAATGGCTTCACATTGCATTTTTCTTTGACGTAGAAATTTTTAAACTACAAAAATTGAAACACTTGCCACACGATTTTCCTCCCAATAAAATTTCAAATCTGAAGCGGGTGGATATTTACAGCACGACAGTTCCAAAGTAATTTCCATACATCCGTTCCACACGTAATTGAAATCTTGCATTCCTCCAGTAAGCGGATACCATTGAGCACCATTGGTGATACCATTCTTAAATCCTGGTTGCGTTGATGAACAAGGC